TTATTGCCTAAATAGAACCAATGGGACGGGAGTGTCTGTAGGAGAAAGTACCAGTGAATGAATGCTGTCTCCTGGATATGATTGTGTCCATCAAGGCTGTGCACCACTCAATTGTTCCAAGCATCAAGGGAAAAGGAATCAGACTCACGTTCAGCTTTCTAATAGCAGTTGGATAAAATGCTCACATGCCAACTTTAAAGGTTCTGGTTGTGACAAGGTAGCTTTGGATCGGAAGTTCCGGTCTGATATCCTGCTTTGTCAGCAGGGTAATAGTACAAATGACAAATACATAGCACAGGTATTTTGTTGGGCATGGCAGTGTTATAATGGGACTAGAACTTACTTCCAAGAATTCTGGTCTAGCACCAGAGAGAAACAAATTGGGGATGTAACTGTACGTGGTGATCGGAGACAGGGGAATGGAGATGTATTGTATTAATGGCATCATATCCCCCGATGTGATCATTGTTGGAGGCTTGGGAATACTTTATATTATGAAGAACCAAAGGATGAAGAAACTTGGAATGGCCCTTTCCTAATGGGACTTGGTCTTTGAAGGGTCATTATTGGATTTCTGGACAACATGCTTATCACAAACTACCTGAAAATTGGTCAGGAGTATGCTATGTAGGGGATATTAGACCACTATTCCTTTTATTGCCTCAAAGTCAAGGGAACAGATTAGGAATTAAAGTCTATGATGACTTACTAAGAGAAAAGACATCAATTGATACATTCCTGACAAGGGAGAGTACACGGTCATGAGGAAAAGATGAACGGCCACCTGAATGAATTATACAATATTATGGACCAGCAACATGGAGTCCCAATGAGGTGATTTCTGGAGCAAGGGAATCAATTTACAATTTCAACAGGACAATTAGATTACAAGCTGGTTTAGAAATTATAACTAACCAAAGATCTGAGGCCCTTGATCTCCTTGCAGGATAACCTACTCAAATGAGAAATGCAATTTTCCAGCTTCAAATAGTCCTAGATTACTTGTTAGCAGAAGAAGGGTGTGTTTGTGGAAAACCAAACAAATCCAACTGTTGTTTACAAATAGATGATAATGGGAAGGTAGTAAAGGAAATAACGAAAGAGATGAGAAAGCTGGTCCGTGTGCCAGTTCAAACCTGGAAAGGATGGGAGTGGGACATGTTCTCATGGTTGCCTGGTGGGCCTTGGGTTCAATGTATGCTATTTTTCTTTCTCTGTGCAATAGCAGCTCTGATCGTTGTACCACGGATGATACCTTGTTTTATCCAACTAATTCAACATGCAGTTCAGAGATTGCAGGTGGTGGCCATATCTGAGTCGGCGTAGAGAGGACCAAAGATGATGCTGCTGAAAATTGTACGTAGTCCAGGAAATATGCAAAAAGACAAAATCAAACTCATGGTTGCCACCTTTTGTAAAGTCAATGATTGAGCAAATAGAAGAGGAGGGATTGAGAGGAACACCAGTTTCGTGTCTTTACAGAAGAAGCCTGTGCACACCCAGGCTCAAGACAAGGGACAAAAGAAGCCTGTGTGAACTCAAGATAAGAAAGAATATCGAAACTACGTGATCCCTCGAATATGTAAATTACTTGAATATCTGGAATATCTAAACAACATTATCCCCTGAATGTGTTAAATGTATTAATTACCTGAATATCTGGAATATTTAAATTACATGATCCCTTGAATATGTCAAACCACCTGAATATCTGGAATCTAAAGAACATGAATATCTTGGTTATGTCAAAAGAACATTTTGTCTGGAATGTCTCAGGCGGATGGTGCAGTCTGTACACTCAGAGTACCTCAGCCAATGGGGAAATGAGGAGGGTCTCTTGCGGTCGGGAAAAGTGGGATGAAAGGAGGCTGCGTCACCCTGTAGGTTGAGAGACCCCACAGGAATATGTCCTGTGGACTCTCCCTTTATTAGAATAAAGTTTTATTACTATTTTTTTACAGGACTCCTCTGTCTCCTTTGTGAACACTGACTCATGGTAGCGTGATTTTCCGTAGAGGGAAAAGGGATTTTAATATTAATTTATGAAAAAATGCGACAGCAGAATTCGATGGCAAGCTTTATTCTATCACATATTCAACAAGGAAGAAGCATACAAAAGGGAAATCAGATTAGAATTGTGTTAGAATGATTTACACATGGATCAAGGAAGATCA